TCCAACCCAACTGATCCAAACCCAACTGATCCAAATCCAACTGATCCAAACCCAACTGATCCAAACCCAACTGATCCAAACCAACTGATCCAAACCCAACTGATCCAAACAAACTGATCCAAACCCAACTGATCCAAACCAACTGATCCAAACCAACTGATCCAAACCCAACTGATCCAAACCCAACTGATCCAAACCCAACTGATCCAAACCCAACTGATCCAAACCCAACTGATCCAAACCAACTGATCCAAACCCAACTGATCCAAACCAACTAATCCAAACCCAACTGATCTCAACCCAACTGATCCAAACCCAACTGATCCAAACCCAACTGATCCAACCCAACTGATAAAAATCCAACTGATCCAAACCAACTGATCCAAACCCAACTAATCCAAACCAACTGATCCAAACCCAACTGATCCAAACCAACTGATCCAAACCCAACTGATCCAACCCAACTGATCCAAACCCAACCTATCCAACCCAACTGATCCAAACCCAACTGATCCAAACCCAACTGATCTAAACCCAACTGATCTCAACCCAACTGATCCAAACCCAACTGATCTCAACCCAACTGATCCAAACCAACTAATCCAAACCCAACTGATCTCAACCCAACTGATCTCAACACAACTGATCCAAACCCAACTGATCCAAACGAACTGATCCAAACCCAACTGATCCAAACCAACTGATCACAACCCAACTAATCCAAACCCAACTGATCCAAACCAACTGATCCAAACCCAACTGATCCAAACCCAACTGATCCAAACCCAACTGATCCAAACCCAACTGATCCAAACCCAACTGATCTCAACCCAACTGATCCAAACCCAACTGATCCAAACCCAACTTCTCTCAACCCAACTGATCTCAACCAACTGATCCAAACCCAACTGATCTCAACCCAACTGATCCAAACCCAACTGATCCAAACCACCTGATCCAAACCAACGGATCCAAACCCAACTGATCTCAACCAACTGATCTCAACCAACTGATCCAAACCCAACTGATCTCAACCCAACTGATCCAAACCCAACTGATCCAAACCACCTGATCCAAACCAACTGATCCAAACCAACTGATCCAAACCAACTGATCCAAACCAACTGATCCAACCCAACTGATCCAAACCAACTGATCCAAACCCAACTGATCCAAACCCAACTGATCCAAACCCAACTGATCCAAACCAACTGATCCAAACCCAACTGATCAAAACCAACTGATCCAAACCCAACTGATCCAAACCAACTGATCCAAACCCCACTGATCCTAACCCAACTGATCCAAACCCAACTGATCCAAACCCAACTGATCCAAACCCACTGATCCAAACCCACTGATCCAAACCAACTGATCCAACCCAACTGATCCAAACCCAACTGATCCAAATCCAACTGATCCAAACCCAACTGATCCAAACCCAACTGATCCAAACCAACTGATCCAAACCCAACTGATCCAAACAAACTGATCCAAACCCAACTGATCCAAACCAACTGATCCAAACCAACTGATCCAAACCCAACTGATCCAAACCCAACTGATCCAAACCCAACTGATCCAAACCCAACTGATCCAAACCCAACTGATCCAAACCAACTGATCCAAACCCAACTGATCCAAACCAACTAATCCAAACCCAACTGATCTCAACCCAACTGATCCAAACCCAACTGATCCAAACCCAACTGATCCAACCCAACTGATAAAAATCCAACTGATCCAAACCAACTGATCCAAACCCAACTAATCCAAACCAACTGATCCAAACCCAACTGATCCAAACCCAACTGATCCAAACCAACTGATCCAAACCCAACTGATCCAACCCAACTGATCCAAACCCAACCTATCCAACCCAACTGATCCAAACCCAACTGATCCAAACCCAACTGATCTAAACCCAACTGATCTCAACCCAACTGATCTCAACCCAACTGATCCAAACCAACTAATCCAAACCCAACTGATCTCAACCCAACTGATCTCAACCCAACTGATCCAAACCCAACTGATCCAAACGAACTGATCCAAACCCAACTGATCCAAACCAACTGATCCAAACCCAACTGATCCAAACCAACTGATCCAAACCCAACTGATCCAAACCCAACTGATCCAAACCCAACTGATCCAAACCCAACTGATCCAAACCCAACTGATCTCAACCCAACTTATCCAAACCCAACTGATCCAAACCCAACTGATCTCAACCCAACTGATCTCAACTCAACTGATCTCAACCCATCTGTTCAAAACCAACTGATCCAAACCAACTGATCCAAACCCAACTGATCCTAACCCAACTGATCCAAACCCAACTGATCCAAACCCAACTGATCCAAACCCACTGATCCAAACCAACTGATCCAACCCAACTGATCCAAACCAACTGATCCAAACCCAACTGATCCAAACCAACTGATCCAAACCCATCTGATCAAAACCAACTGATCCAAACCAACTGATCCAAACCCAACTGATCCTAACCCAACTGATCCAAACCCAACTGATCCAAACCCAACTGATCCTAACCCACTGATCCAAACCAACTGATCCAACCCAACTGATCCAAACCAACTGATCCAAACCCAAATGATCCAAACCCAACTGATCCAAACCCAACTGATCCAAACCAACTGATCCAAACCCAACTGATCCAAACCAATTGATCCAAACCCAACTGATCCAAACCAACTGATCCAAACCCAACTGATCCAAACCCAACTGATCTCAACCCAATTGATCCAAATCAACTGATCCAAACCCAACTGATCCAAACCAACTGATCCAAACCCAACTGATCTCAACCCAACTAATCCAAACCCAACTGATCCAAACCAACTGATCCAAACCCAACTGATCTAAACCCAACTGATCCAAACTCAACTGATCTCAACCCAACTGAGCTCAATTGACTGATCACAACCCAACTGATCTAACCAAACTGCTCTTAACCCACCTGACCTTGACCTATTTGATCCAAACCCAACTGATCCAAACCCAACTGATCTCAACCCAACTGATCCAAATCCAACTGATCCAAACCCAACTGATCCAAACCAACTGATCTCAACCCAACTGATCCAAACCAACTGATCCAAACCCAACTGATCCAAACCCAACTGATCCAAACCCAAGTGATCTCAACCCAACTGATCTCAATTGACCGATCACAACCCAACTAATCCAAACCCAACTGATCCAAACCCAACTGATCCAAACCCAACTGATCTCAACCAAACTGATCCAAACCCAACTGATCCAAACCCAACTGATCTCAACCCAACTGATCTCAACTCAACTGATCTCAACCCAACTGATCCCAACCCAACTGATCCAAACCCAACTGATCCAAACCAACTGATCTCAACCCAACTGATCCAAACCAACTGATCCAAACCCAACTGATCCAAACCCAACTGATCCAAACTCAACTGATCTCAACCCAACTGATCTCAATTGACCGATCACAACCCAACTGATCTCAACCAAACTGCTCTTAACCCACCTGACCTTGACCTATTTGATCCAAACCCAACTTCTCTCAATCCACTGATCACAACCCAACTGATCTCAATCCACTAATATCCAATGCCGTAGCCAGGGTTCTCATCCTAGGGTGGGGGGGGGGGGGTACATGTTGGGTGGGGCTTGAGGTTATAAAGGTAGACAAAGTTTTCCACTGGACACCCGCCCTCTGTACAACCAAATAGTGTGGGGGGGGGGAGGAGTGACACTATCTTCCCATGGGGGGGGGGGCGTTCAAAATGTATATCATGGCTACATTAGATAATAACTACCGCTATTCGCTTCTAAGGGACGTTTACAATAATCAGCCACTCGCAAAAAAAAACCAGTTTTGCTTTTGAAAGTTTCACAGAAAAAAGGGACTTTATGTTCTTTCAGCTAATCTTGGTAACTCATATGGCTGTGCTTTCTCCGGATGCCAAATTTTCTGTGTTTTTTTTATGGGGGGGGGGGGGGGGTGCCCCCCACACCCCCCTTTAGCCGTTGCTTATATCACCCAAAACTAATCTAAACCCAAACACCATCCATTCACTGATAATCTCAACCCAACTGATCCCAACCTAGGCCGACCCAACCCTACCAAACCAAATCAAGCCAAAGCCAATTCAACTAAATGGAACTAAACCGAAATGATCTAAAGTCAACCAGGTCATACTCAAACAAACAAAATTGAACTGAATCAATGCAAACCAAATCAAACACAACTGAGTTGATACGAACTGAACCGAACCAAACCATTCCGATCTCAACCATACCAAAGTGATTAGAACGGAACCGAACAGAACCGAATACATCGGACTAAAAAAAACCAAACTCAAGTGAACTGAACTGATATACAAGGTGAGTCAAAAGAAAAAGAAACCCAAATGTCGGGATAATTGTTTTAGAGAAGTTCTGCATGTAGCACTTTCAAAATCTAGGATATGAAAGCCCAATTCATATAAAGCTTTCTTTTGAGTACAAGAATCATTCAAATCACTCATGCAATTTTCAAGTTAGGGAAATTTAAACACAACCACTGTTTTAAAGTTCTGTCCATGGATCACAAAAAGGTAAGCGTTCTTTCAGCAAAACGAAACTGAATCACATATAGGGATGTGAAAGAACGCACACCTTGTTTGTGATCCGTGGACAGAACTTTAAAGCGTTGGTTGTGTTTAAAAATCTGCAACTTGAAAAGTACGAGAGCAATTTGAATTATTCTTGTACTAAAAGAAAGCTTATGAATTCGGCTTTGATATCCTAGATTTAGAAAGTACTACATGCAGAACTTCATGAAAACAACAATCCCAACATTTGGGTGTTCACTTTTTTTTTACTCACCCTGTATGTACCAAACTTAACCCAATTGAACTGATGGATCTGAAATTGACCACACCTAACTAACTCAATCCAACCAAACAGACCTGATCTGAAACAAACTTAACCAAACAATGCTGTTTCCTCACTTGGTCAGGACAATTTCTCCTGCCAGTACTCTCTTGGCCACATCCGCCCAGCCTGCTCCCTTGGTCTGCTGAATCTCAGCCAGCATGTCCAAGACTGTCTCCGTCCTCAGGATCTTGTGAGAGACGTCTGCCATCAGGAGGACCTCCTGCTCATACTGCAAGATGGAGGTGATGAAACCTGGCAGGAGCTGGATCCTGGAGGGATGAGGGGAGAAATGACGGAGAGAAAGGAGCATCAAGGAAAGGGGAACAATCAACACAATAAAAAACAGTCTTAAAAACTGTGTAAGCATAATTTAATTTGTTTCTGCCATTGTAAACATTTGATCTGCCATATTGTCGCTTTACTCACAAAGTGACAAAAACCTCGAAAATCGATAACTGTTCGATTTTGAGTTTTACTAGCCTTTTTATTATAGTTGTCTCAAGGAACAATTTGACCAAGTTTCAAAGCGAAAAATTGTTTACTTTCTTACTTATTGTAAACAAAATTTGACAAAAACCCTGAAATCCGTGTTTTTGTTTTTACGAAGTGTAAAAAGTGTAAAATGTTTTCACGAAGTGACAGAAAGTCACCTCGTGGGCAGGGCCGGAGGAACTACACATTGGTCTTCACGCGTCAGGATGGGAGCATACACGTGCGCGCGAACGTTGTTGAAAAAGGACAGACGTGCGTGCGCTCAACTGTCGTATGACGCGTAAAAGTTGCAAGTTTGTTGCATCGACAAAAGTACAAATAAGTAAAGCCTCCGCGATTCATGTTCCCACGAAGTGACAAAAACTTTGTGCAAAGTAATGGGGAAAATATGGGACCCAAAGTATTGATGTTTTCACAAAGCGTAAACAAGTTTTATTAATGAATTACTGTTTAATTTAATTATTTATTTTTAACAAACAACTATGAATCAGCAAAGAGCAAATCATAAGCTATGGGACAATGCAAACATTTCCAAATTCTTTTACTGCGAAGTAGTCGAAAATGTCTTTTGAAAAAATAAATAACTTCAAATGCGATTGTTTCTGGATGAACTTTTGTCGATTTTTAAAGTTTTTGTCACTTCGTGAGCAAAGCGACAATATGTGACCTACTGTGGCAAAATGAGGAATGTCCCCCAAAACAATGTAATCAACTCCTGAAATCAATGTTGGTTTTTTTTTATTTTTGAAAAGCCAAGTTATCCAAGATTCACACTTTGCCTTTTTGTTGGGAACAAATATCCCCAAAAGTTGGAAACTGAAGAACGTTTTCCACTGCCGTTCGCAGCGCAATGTGCATTTCTTTCTTCAAAGCCCTTTTTCTCGAAATGAGGTTGGTAAAATTTGGTGGGACACTGATGAAGTTCCTGCGGCATATCTTGGGAGTACATTAAGCTACAGAAACAAATTTGGTATCATTTGAACGCTAATGATTTACGCTTTAACATGATGTATGTAACTTGAAAAGTCAAAGGGGGGGGGGGTTTATTCCTCATTATGATATGGCAGGTGACATATAGCAAGTCTACATGTGCAGTGTCAAATTTCCTCACTTTACTACCAAACCTGCAAAAATGAAAGATGTTTTGCAAAATCCACACAAAAGGCTCTCATATTTAATGGCAATCCATATTTCTGCTTCATGGCTCTGTCTATTACTATATACAATCTCCGCTACTTCAAACAATTTTTAAAGAAACTCAAAGCCATGCTGGCCTATGGCTACAGATATTTCACATCTACGTTCAACTTAAGACATGAGCTAAATGGTTTCACTTACTTGTGTTGCTGGATTTCCCTTTTGGCGTTGGGGTTGAAATAGTTCCTGCCGGTCTGCTCAAAGCCAACCAATCCAAGAATCCTAAAACAGTGAAAGTAACAATGTGAAAAAATAATTGCGAGCACGAATTACGCTTCACTGAGTTCCTTAAAAAAATATACTTCAAAATTGTATCTTTGTTTTTAAGAGGCCATGAACTGAAATTTACACTTGAACATTTTGTGCAATAGCTTAGAAGGCATTTAAAAGGTGCATCTTTGTCACTGTTAACAACCTGTTGATAATTTTGAAAATATTGTATTATTTCCATAAAACTGAAATTAAAATGACAGTAAACTAATTACTTTCCTACTTTTCCACACAGACTCAACTTTCTTCAAAGTTTTGAAGATTTGTCAATCAAATTTGTCATTTTTCACAAAGGAGAATACAAATAATCATTTCTGATTGATTTCTAAGTCAATTCTGACTGATTGTTTCAGCTTTTCACGGATGGTCATTATTTAGTATGCCATTAAATAAAAACCCTGGGTCTTACGTGTTCTTTAACCCTAATCCTCCAAAATCCTCTGGATGGTTTTTGGAAGATTGAGGATGAATGGTGGAATGTTTGCATCAGGGTGATAAATTAAATTATAGGTTTTGCCCTTCACCGACGTTTAAACACTGTATACTCAGTGTGTTACCTCCCGAGTGAAAGTTGGAAAAAATCACTCGGGTGGGACTCGAACCCACGACCTCAGACGTCTGCACTAGAAGCAGGAGGTCGTGGGTTCGAGTCTCACCCGAGTGATTTTTTCCATCTTTCACTCTGGAGGTAACACACTGAGTATACAGTGTTTAAACGTCGGTGAAGGGCAAAACCTATAATTTGAGGATGAATGGTGTTTGAGAAACATGAGGATTTTGGAGGATTGAGGATGAATGGTGTTTGGAGGAGGATTTTGGAGGATTGAGGATGAATGCATTTTTTTGTCTGACAATTTTGAAGGATTGAGGCGCAGGGTAACCTACATTTGAACATAAGTGCAAAATTTTGGAGGATTGAGGATGGTTCCCAGCAAAAAGACCCTCGGGGGTTTAGGGTTAATTTTAGCAACGATGAAAAAAAGAGCAAACCTACTTGCGGAAGATGATGTTATAAACCTGCATGCAGGTTGGTGAAGTAGGAGGCAGCGCATTCTTGAGAGCAACAGTAATGGTGATGATGTCATCAGAGTCACGGCATTTGGTTTGAAATCTGGTCACCTAGAGTTTGCAAAACAGACAAAAATAAGTATAGAAAATATATATGCATCTCATGAAAACATCTTTACAACTTTGCATCTTGTGTTGAGATTGATTGTTTCTGAAAAATACAACTCTACAGTGTGAGTACAAAACAAATGAAACCCAAATGTCGGGATTATTGTTTCAGTAAAGATCTGCATGTAGCACTTTCAAAATCTAAGATATAAAAGTGCTACATCTGCATGTAGCACTTTCAAAATCTAAGATATAAAAGCCAATTCATAAGCTTTCTTCTAGTACAAGAATCATTCAAATCACTCATGTACTTTTCAAGTTACGGAATTTTAAACACAACCATCCGTTTTAAAGTTCTGTTCAAGGATCACAAAAAAAGGTGTGCGTTCTTTCAGTAAAACGAAAACAATTCACACACATCCCTACGTGATTTGTTTTCGTTTTGCTTAAAAAACATTTACATTTTTGTTATCTGTGGACAGAACTTTAGAACGGTGGTTGTGTTAAAAATTCTGTAACTTCAAAATTACACTGAGTGATTTGAATGGTTCTTTTACTAAATGAAAGCTTATGTATTGGACTTTCATATCCTAGATTTTAAAAGTGCTACATGCAGAACTTCACTTAAACAATGGTTCCGACATTTGGGTTTCAGGGGTTTTTTTTTACCTACCGTGTAGTGAAAGCCCTACCACTCTCAGATCCTTCTGCAGTTTTGAGGAAGGTAGAGCCCAGCTAAATTCACATGACATGGGGCAGGTACAAAGAATGCAGCTTCGATTTCCCACACAGCTGAGGATTTTAGAGGATTGAGCGAGGTTCCTAGAAATACGCTATCAAGCCGGCATTTATCTCCCATTAAGAATATTTCTTTTCGAAATCAGTGACATACTTTTGCCATGAAGCCTCAATCCTGCAAAATCTTCAATTTTTGCAAAGAGGATTTTGGAAGATTTGGGAAGGTTAGGGTTAAAAACACATTTTACATCTACTCACCGGCTCATCAAGCCTTCGGAGCAGGAACAACATCATCCCATCAAAGGCCATGGGGGTGCCTAGGATCTCAGAGTGAGCCCGTAGCAGGGCATGACGTGCCCTAGGGTTGTCCACAACGGGGCTGAAGTCCACGCTGTACTGGTGCAGAAGCCACTGATCAGCAGCCTTCATGCGGAAACAGTTGGTCAAGACCTCCACCGGCTTTCCTTTCTTGCCTGGAGGATTATGAGAAAAATGCATGTTTTTCAATAAAACGGTAAGAGGCACTGGATTTTTAGGAGTCCACATTTTATTGTGACACTGGAAAAGTGTTTAAGACCAGCTAGCCATGTCTTTATCATCCGTTTAAAACCGGCCACGTGACGGGCTCTCGACCAATAGGAATAGCTAAACTGTCTGAGGTATTTATGAATTTGATATCAATATCGCCGACAGCAAGTTTTTTAATCATATCGAAAAATTGGATATTGAGGAATCATATCGAAAATGCTTCATATTATCATCAAAATCAATCTCCTGTTGGTGCTTTTACTTTGTGTTGAACGTTTGCTGTATAATGAATTGAAACTCAGCGGCAACTTGTGCTTGTGACTCAAAATAACAAAGAAAACATTCATATTCCAAGAAATATACACACAGTGCAGAATTAAGAGAACAGTTTGCTGAAAGTTGGCATCATGTGACATAGTCTATAGTTACAGAACAAACTGATGATTTTACGAAGCATTATTATTTTTGGTTAGATACAGTGTACAAGGATAATAATTTGTTTTCTGTTTGATTTTTTCCAGTGAGTTGTTTAGGCCAAAAAAGTCTCCGGTTTCTGGTATGGAGCTTGCCCAAAAAGTGGTGCAGCGATGCCTTTTTTTACCCGTTTCTTTTGCTTCAAATGTCGGCTGATGACTGCAAATGGTGCCTGACTAAACTTAGTGCAAATACATGGGAGTCCAGAGAGGCCACATAAAGCTTATTCTCGATCATAACCCCATCTAAAAAACATGTTAAAATTGTGCAGCAGCAGGATTCCGGTCAAACCATTGAGTTGGGCGGTTTTGAGACATCATCTTTCATTGAAAAAAAAAACTTTTTCATTTTGCAGATGCGCATGGCTACGGCAACGCGCGCGCATACCAGAAACCGGAGACTTTTTTTTTTGGCCTTACTTACAAGTCTGGTTTGGTGACCACTGAGTCGATCACCGTTCCTGGGGATGGGTTCACAAGATTTCCTTGGTTCAAGGAGCAAAATCTATTGTTGATTCGCTTCTTAACGACGACCACAGCGCACTTAGGGCTGAACACAAACAATCAAAGACAACATTGGTACAGTCTTGTCTATCATGACATGAGACACTAGTAAACGGCACTTCTATGACAAAAAGCAAAATGTGTAAGATTCAAAACGAGAATATAACATATGAGGCAACAACACGGATAAGTATACATTTTGCACAGCAAGTTAGCATTCTTATAAAAAAAAAATCAGCTGACAACCTCACACCAAGTGACATTTTTATTGGTTATTCCTTTATTTTTTACAATAAGCCAACTTGTTCTCTGCACTCAAGGAAATGTCTGTCCTTTGCAGCTCTGAACATGGCTACAGGGCCCAGTTTAACAGAATTTACAAAGCACAAATTTACTTAGCGAACAAATAGTTGACAAGTAATAAACTGTTACCAGCTTAAAATGTCATATGTAGAATCGTACATTGATGCAAATATAATAGTCTGAGAGCCCAGAGAGGTTTAATAAGAATATCGGGCACAAAAGGTTTGATGGTGGCAGCGAGTTTGTTTCTGCATTCAACAGGGGACGATGAACAATAGATGGGACAATGGGGTCCCCAATACCTGAGAGGTTCCCTATTTGGATTCGTGTACAAAACATATGGGAGGTCGTCCTAAAAAGTTAGGACAAACAAAAGAGGGACAATATAGGTCCCCGGTTGCAGGAAAATACACACTTGTGTGAGTAGGTGTGGTTACTGACCTTCAGAACTGTCATAAGTGTCACATCCCGTGCAACCTCCGAGATTTAAACTTTGGGGTTGAATTTCTTTAACAGGTACCCGGGTACCCATGTTTTTTTTCAGTCGGGTACCCGATTCCCAAAATAGCACACCCTACTTTTCAGCCACAGTTCACATTCATAGTAGATTGTGTCATACCTTTGATGACATCAAAGCTACATCAAGCTCCTGGTGCCTTCGGCCGTCATAGTTTAGGCTGCTGTGGTTTAGCTTCACGAGATGGTAATCTTTCCATAAGCCCAGCCCAAGCCTTCTCCACCTAAGATACAATTAAATGGATAGACAATGTACAACTTATGTCAGCATGGTTTTAATGAAGTCGCTGTGGTAAGAGGGGAGGTGCGGTACTTTTTGACCTGTACAACAACTTTGATAGAGAGTGTTTCCAAAATGCTATATCCGTTTGAAAAATGTGAAAAAACTGGCACGGTTAAGACAAATTTATACACGTATATATAACAGCCATAATTTCTAAACTACATTTTCATGTATTCTTAATTAACCCTCCTGCTATCTGAACAGTCACAGACAGTCAAAAACTAAATCCTCTTCCCCTGCCAAGCCTTTTACACAGTCAGATCATAATAATTTCAAGCAAGCACAGTGACTAGTCCTAATTACAGTCAACAGACAAAAGACAAGTGGTAGGCACAGCTGGCTTATCAATCATCTACAGTCAAGGCATAGCTTTATCAAGTTACATAAACAGTCTCAGCCAGTCAATCCTGCTTTGTGTAGTCTGCGAATGTTTAACTGTTGAAAACAGTCACTTGATTGATTTTGACTGAAAGGACAACTTGGCACAGAATTTATGTGGAGGGTTAATAAGCAATCACAACTGGCTTTGGGCAGCCAGGAGAGGGCGGGATTCCAAAAGGAAATGAAAGAGCATTCACAGCATTTTTGGAAAACAAAATTCTTCATATATATGTTTGAAATCCGGAATGAAGAAAATGTCTTTAATTGCAAAAGGTACATGTATAAAGTGACTATTTTATAAGCACATTAGAAACATGCAGCTCTTGCAAAATTTGGAGTCTATTTTTTGGGGGGGGGTTTCCTCTTCTGTCCCCAACTTTTGTGTGAATTGATGGATTTTGTAAAAGGTAAAAAATAATATTCATTGAAGGGCTCGACAAAAAAAAGGCTAAACCCGACCTGTACCTGTTTCTGCGTGACCTCTGGCTCCCAGAAGGTGCAGAAGACGACATTGGAATGATCCACACGTTCCTGGTTACTGAGCTGGGATTCTATGCGCTGTCTGGCCTTCTCCTCTGGTAGAAGATCCCTGTCTAGAATACGCTTCAAGGCCTGGCAAAAAAAATAACATTGAAAGAAGATGAAAAAGAATAAACTACAAGGACCATGTCACCAAAGTAAAAATGCAGAAACAAATCTTACTCTAGTTATAATTTACACATGTTGAGAAGCTGAGTATCACATAATGAGAATGGAGTGTAATTTCAGAGTGACTGAGAAGTGCACATGACTGTTTTCATTGTAGTGAATGATTCATGTAAATTTTAAAAAAATTTGCACTAAATGTGGGCTAGTCCAATAATAACACTGTGTACAAAGATGCTCAAAGGGGCGTGGCCTTGTCATAATGAATGAGGCGCGACCTATCTCATCCTTATGAATAATGCATGACCACAACTTATAGTAGAGCTAATCCACCCAAGCTTCACTCATCAATGGAAGCCGTGATTGTCCTCGTCCTTGCGAATTATGTATGACCACAGCTTATAGCAGAACCCAGCCCATCCATCTTCAATCTCCTAATTGGGGGTGTGACTCACCTCATCCTTATGAATAATGAATGACCAGACCTCATGGCAGAATCCATCCAAGCCGGCCTCAATCACCCAATGGGAGACCTGACTCACCTCATCCTTATGAATAATGCATGACCACAACTCATACCATAACCCATCCCACCCAGCTTCAATCACCCAATGAGAGGCGTGACTCACCTCATCCTTTTGAATAATGCATGACCACACCTCATGGCAGAACCAGTCTCACCCAGCTTCAATCATGAATGGGGGGCATGACTCACCTCATCCTAATAAATAATGCATGACCACACCTCGTGACAGAACCCATCCCACAAAGCTTTAATCTCTCTTATAATGGGAGGCGTGACTCACCTCATCCTTATGAATAATGCATGACCATGCACGCCTCATGGCAGAACTCATCTTACCCAGCTTCAATCTCCCAATGAGAGGCGTGACCCCCCCTTATCCTTATGAATAATGCATAACCACTCCTCATGCCATAACCCATCCCACCCAGCTTCAATCGCCCAATGGGAAAAGTAGCTCACCTCATCCTTATGAATAATGCATGACCCATAGAGCTATATTAAATTACTAGAGCGCTAACTCGTCATTGTGCACGCGGAGACGCTTTGAAGCCGTCCTGGGCGCAGACATTTTGAATTCATGTGCATGTTTGTAGAACATAATGAAATTAGATGGATTGAATTTTGAAAGTGTACTCTACATGCAACGCGCAAGTAGAACATACGAAAACAACTTAAGCGCGTCATTGACGGTTCAAAAAAACGTGACGGCAAAAAGCATCTATTTGCGCTATTTGCATACAGCAAAATGACACACTCTTTTGGTGATCGTGCGTTTCGGTTTTGGGCCTATTGGCTTCAGTAACGCACCGGTATGGAATACAAACGCAGATATGCAAATAGCCGTACAAAAGCCGTACAAAATTTCTAGGTCTCCATAGGTTTGTGCACAAACATGGATGCGCCCAGCAGGCATTACTTTGTACACGAAGTTAGCGCTCTAGTAATTTAATATAGCTCTATGGCATGACCACACCTCATGGCAGAACCCATCCCACACAGCTTTGATCTCTCAATAGGAGGCGTGACTCACCTCATCCTTATGAATAATGCATGACCACACCTCATGGCAGAACCCATCCCACACAGCTTTGATCTCCCAATGGGAGGCGTGACTCACCTCATCCTTATGAATAATGCATGACCACACCTCATGGCAGAACCCATCCCACACAGCTTTGATCTCCCAATGGGAGGCGTGACTCACCTCATCCTTATGAATAATGCATGACCACACCTCATGGCAGAAGCCATCCCACACAGCTTTGATCTCTCAATGGGAGGCGTGACTCACCTCATCCTTATGAATAATGCATGACCACACCTCATGGCAGAACCCATC